ATCAATTCATTAAACATGCGTCATTCGATTAAAATCAAACAGTAATATCATCCCAAGTCATTACAATCAAATCCCTAACACAAGGAACTAGGGTTCTTCATACCCAAGTGAGAGAAGGGTTCTACTCCATAGAGAGAGAAGAGAAAACAAGAATCGGATTAGTCATACTCATAACGATGAGGATAATCTGCTCCGGGACGATGATTTTCACTCCTATGATGATCTCCAGGCTCGATTCGATGAAATCCAGCTCTAGGACAGCTTCTAGGATGTGTTCTTCGCACTTTCTCTCTCTAGGGCTCTGTTTTTGCTCTCAAAACACGATTCTCCCACTTCTGGCTCGGAATAGGCTCTAAAACAGGGTTTCCCTACTTGCACGGCCAGGGTGCACGGCCGTGCACATCACCATTCTGGCCGTGCACTCCAAAACGCGCCATATCATTAAATTCGACCTTCAGCCATCGTGCACGGCCAGGATTGCACCTTGCACGGCCGTGCGTGGCCACGCACAATCCCGTGCGTGCCCACGCACAATCCCGCACGGCCAAACTGGTCACTTGCACGGCCGTGCGTGGCCACGCACAATCCCGTGCGTGCCCACGCACAATCCCGCACGGCCAAACTGGTCACTAGCACGGCCGTGCGGGTTGTGGGTGTGCCCGTGCGACTTCCTCAGAACCTCACCATGCGTCCGATCCTTGTCCAATCGACCTCAAACTCGCTCCCAAGCCTCCATTCACGTACTAGGACTTGAAATATCATAAACAAGCACAACCTAGCGTGAAATCGGCCTAAAACACGAGAATCAACACCTCAAACGGTGTAAGAACGGGGGTAAAAACATGTGTAAATGATGGTCTATCACTTTCACTAGCATAGTGGCATTGGCTCCGACCCAATCGAGGACTTTCCCTCCGGGTCCATGACCGCTCTCTGCCATTGTTGAATGAAGAAGAGGCTACTTTTGTAAGAAATAGGTCGGAGAAATCGAGGAAAGACTAAGGAAGAAAAGAGAATAAGAATAGAGGGAAAATTTTGGGGGAAAATGGAAATAAAACATGGTAATGTCAAATTACTAGCGGGAGTGTTAACGGTGGAAAATTGGGTAGTAGGGCTGAGCCTGACTTCTATGAAGGTGACAATTGTTACTACGGTCCACACCTCTTCAAACACTGTTCGAACAAGGGTGTTTGGTGTATGAGGAATTTACGTTACCTTACACTTCTCCTATGGAGATTCCTTGAGAGCTCCGCGACTACAACTAAGACTACTCGAATCCTTCATGGAGGAGAGCTCCGTAAACTATAGAGAAAAAGGAAAATGGGATAGTTGAGACAAGTTGTATTTTTGTTGGATTGTGATTGTCTGTCTCTCTCCAGAAGGTTGCTTCAAATTTTATTGCCCAAATTCGTCCAACTGCTCTCTCTCCTCCTCCCGAAAAGTAGCTCTGCTTAGCCTCTGCGAAGTCATTTTTCGTCGTAGGAAGTCTATAGACACCTCACCATGTCATCTTGTTTCAACATGGATGGAACCATCCAACTAGTATGATATCCATGATACGAGAAGGTATCATCCAATAAGTACTTTGGATGGGGTCCATGATATGAGATGGTACCATCCACCGTAGGCTTGGATGATTTTCATGATGTGGGATGGTCACCATCCGCTAAGAGGTTGGAAGGTGTCCACTATATGGATGGTACCATCCACTTTGGGTTGGGATGATATCCATAATTTAGGATGGTCCTCGTCTACTAAGAGGTTGGTTGGTGTCCACTAAATGAGATGGTATCATCCACCTAGAGGTTGGATGGTACCCATAATGTGAGATGCAACCATCCACTTTGAAGTTCGATGGTTACCTTGGGACTGGATACTTGGAGACCAAGTATTGGATTGTCACCCAAGTAGTATTTCGAGAGGGAAAATATTTTGGTGTAAACAGGGAAGGGTGGTATTCTCAATTACCATGAATGTTGTAATTGAAGCCAATTTTCATAGTCATACCCTTTTTCCTCTCGCAAGTGTGAATTTTTAACCCAATTACTGTATAACATTTCCACTTCCAAACGAATCCTAACATAAAGAAAAGAGACGAGCAAGAAGTCTTTGGCTTTTGTGATAGGAGCGAGCTAGCTAGCTAGGAGAAAAACAAAGAGAAAGAGAACCAAAAGAATATTTGAAGTTGTCAATAAGATTCACCAAATGAAAGTGAGATTACAGTCATGATGGATCTTGGGCAGTGTCATGCATATCCCGCCCAGATCGCCAACTTATCATCACCCACAATCTTATTGTCCAAAAATACTGAAGCGGCCATCATGCATCATGTCTAGATATCCACCCAGTCAAACGCCCAAACTAACCAGCAAACCACTGTACATACAATCATGTTTGAAAAACATATATGCTTCATCTGGGATTCATTCATCCTGATAAACACTAAGTGGAAAAGACCAAAAAAAAAACAACTATGGATCAATTTTGTAAATTCGAGTAACTTGTTCTGGACACGTGGGGAGCCAGGATTGAACCTTACAGGCAGCTAGACTGATGCTTTGTGAGCGGAAGTGGAGGAGGGACTTTAATTAGTACATGATCGAAATGATCAAGGATTACTGCGCTGCACGTTAAGCTGCTTTGTATGTGTGGTGTTTTAACCTAATATTATTAGTAATCCAGTTAAATATGGTGGATTCAATTATTGACAAATTTGCCATGCATAAGTTAATCAGCTAACTATATACATGGGATGCTACTGACAGACTAGCCTAATGAACGATTATGACCCTTAGGAACAAGATGATTTTCACTTTTTTCTCGAATAAATATGGAGAAAACAAACAACCTAAACTAGGGATTGCTCATTTGCTTGTGGGATTGGCTAGCTACCACTCAAAAACAATAATCAAAATGGGAATGCTGCTGTAGGAGGACCACAAGCAGCTTTTTTTTTAGCCATTTTGTTGGCCTACCAATTCCTAAGTGGTTTCATCAGTACTGCTTCTGATTAGTTTTTTTTTTCCGTAATAATGAGGTTTTCTGAAAGGTGCAATGCAACTAGATTTCTTGGTTGACAGATGACAGTTGCCTAATATATAAAATAATAATATTTTTTTTTATGTCTTTCGACCTAATCAGGGGTGCCGCCGACTCATTGTGCGGCTAAGGATCCAATGAAAGAGATTCCTGGCACTGGCACTGGCTTGGCTTTGAAGTTGGGTTAGCCCCTGGGGTCAAGGCCCTTAGTGGCCTATATATGTTTGTACATAAGCCGAGTTTGATCTAATTAAGGCTAAACTTGAGAATAAATGAGCCGTTACTAAGAACTTTGCTCAAGTTCACTCGCTCGACTCAACAATTAGCCAACTAGCTCAGATGATTTATGAGTCTAATTGGTCCAACTCCTAAATAAAAATATAAAAATATAAAAGTTAAATACCCTAGCTAATATTTGTATGTCGTATACTCATATTCATATATGATACATCAAACATGTGATTAACGTATGATGAAGATGAGAATAATAGTCACTTTATCATAATTGATTGATCCATATTTTTTTTAAAGGGTGATATATGTTTGATTTTGCATTATAATGTACTACTTGAGGGATGGTTCAAGAATCAAGACTAGTGGTAGTTAGCACTGAACGTGGACACCGGGCCGTGCCGCTCACGGGCTAGCACGACACGGCACGGTTAGGGCACGGCACGAAATAAATGGGCCAGCCCGACACGAGCACGAATAATTTATGGGTCGTGTCGGGCCTAAACTTCATGGGCACGGGCACGAGCACGGGCACGGCACGGTATATAAGTGGGCCGTGTTGGGCCTAATATTTTCTAGACTTTATTGAGTATAAGAACGGACATGGCACGAAAATAATATTTATTTGATAAAAAATAAATATAAAAAGAATTATAGGTTCAAATATTACAAAACACAAGTAGAAAAATAATTATTTGTTGTTAGAAGTGTCATAAAGATATATACGTAATTACTAACATAAGTAAAAATGGACAAAGAATTAAACAAAGCCAAATTACACTCGCTATACTTCCAATTTTCTTTTCCCCCTGATTTGTTACTTTTCTCAAATATTAGCGGTTAATTGATACGAGATGGATTTGGATAGCTCCCTTTTCTTGGCGGGAGTAGACCAGTTTCTCCTTTCTTGGCGAGAATGGCCAGTGGTTTCTTATTTTCTGAAATATTGCCTGCCTTCTATTCCATTCATTCCTACCTTAAATACATGAATTAAAAAGACCCTATCTATGCGGAACCAACTCCACGTTTTGCTCTACTTCAACTGCACTTCCTCCACTAACTCTAACAACTTGCACCATTAACTCTAACAATCTGCTAACATCTTCATCCTTGCTAACAAGACTCCAACAAACCGAAGCTCATACAACAAGAAGCTTCTCTCGGCATGGGTTGGGCTTATGCACGTAATCACGGTGGCAACTCTTGGGTTGGGCTGCTTGTGCCTGGTGATGGTTGGGCCTATGAATAGTCGTATCATTACCATCCCCTGAAAATCGGCCTTGTCCTCAAGGCCGAGCTGAATGAAGCGATGTAGAAATCGGACGCTAACTCCCGTGTAGCATAAGAACACGAACCCACCAAGCAACAAATCATTGTTCAGGAGGTAAAGATGGAAGTCAATAAGCTCATGAAGGGGCTGCTCTTGATACATGCCCATTCTTGAACCGTAACAGTCAGTTGGTCTGGCCCATAAGTCAACCCCGGAAGCTGAACTGACCCGCTCATCCCCCACTTCACCTTGTTCACTCTGTTTCTTTTTTTCATCCTCTCCTCGAACGGCGCCGCTTTCCTGCGCTCAATCTTTGCCCACAATCTATGTTGAGCATCGGCGACATAAAATTACACTCACCCAGCTTGCAAACTTTATGGCTAGTATTGTTGCACCTGATGAGCAGTTCGGCATAAATGCACAAAAATGGGAAACGTTTTGGAAGGGCACTTACCTAAGATACCAGACCCAGAATATAAATATATTCCACCATTCAACTAGGAAGTTTGGAGCATATTAATGTTACATATATCATTACCACAAAAAGCACAAAAAGCACAAAAAGTTCACTGCATGATTTAAAGCTTAAAAGTCAACAGAGATAGAAAAGAGAAACAGCATGTTAGGAAACCAAGAGAAAGAGGTAGCTAGAATCAGCAAACAACCCAGCCAAGTCTCCTGAGTTTTTTCCTTTGTCGACTCAATCAAGCATAGTAATTCAAGCTTGCTTTCTTCTTGGCTTGCACTTGGATTATACCTTCATTGAAGTCCTCGTGATTCACCTCAGTTGCATCCCTTCGAAGAGCAAGCATCCCAGCCTCCACGCACACAGCTTTCAGTTGTGCCCCATTGAAGTCATCCGTCGAACGAGCTAGCTCCTCAAAGTTGACATCAGGGTGAACGTTCATTTTCCTCGAGTGGATCTACAAATATCACAAAAGCTTGAATTGTCAGGACCAGCAATTCCACTTGGCTTTTGTAATAAATAAAAAAATTATGTATAAAGGGGTTTAAGAGATTAGCCACGGTTCGTATCAACGAACCTGTAAAATTCGGGCTCTGGCTTCTTCAGTCGGATGGGGGAACTCAATCTTACGATCCAGACGCCCAGATCGCATAAGAGCAGGGTCCAGGATATCAGCTCGATTTGTTGCAGCAATCACCTGAAATATACAAGGAACTTTGTTGGTAAATTGAGCGGAAAGTAACATCTTTTAAGTTCTTCTAATGGTAGAGTTAGCATTCAGTAAGAAAGGGTCAACTGAAACACAGCCTAAGTTGTGATTACAAACATTAGATTTCAGGTAGGACAAACCTTTATCCTGTCATCGCTGCTGAAACCATCAAGCTGATTGAGCAGTTCCAACATGGTCCTTTGAACCTCCCTGTCACCACTCACCTCACTGCACACCCAACAGAAGTCTCGCAATAAGTAACACAAGCTACATACAGATACAGACAAAGCAACAAAATAAGAAACAGCACAAAATCCACATACCTATCAAAACGTTTAGTTCCAATTGCATCAATTTCATCAATGAAAATGATGCATGGAGACTTCTCTTTCGCAAGCTGAAAGGCATCGCGGACAAGTTTTGCTCCATCACCAATAAACATCTACACCAAATTGCAAGTCTGATCACTCTTTGTATCAACACAATAGACGTGCATGTTGAAATAAAAAATAAAAGATACTACAACACTAGTTGGTGAATGGGTTATGTATGCGTTGTACCAAGAAATTCCCATATACACACAAGCTAACAAAACTAGAAAAAACGGGAACAAAATGAATAAGGAAAACATACTTGCACAAGTTGTGGACCTGCAAGCTTTAAAAAGGTGGCATTTGTTTGTGCAGCACAGGCACGAGCCATCAAAGTTTTGCCAGTACCGGGAGGTCCATACAAGAGAATTCCCTTTGGAGGCCTAATGCCCAACTTCTGAAATCTCTCTTTATGAGTCATAGGCAATACAATCGCCTCTACTAGTTCTTGAATCTGCAGTTCGGGAATGCATATAGATTAGAAGGCTGATTCAATCATATACAATAATGTTCTAGTACTAATGACCGTGTTTCCCGTAAACAGCTAACAAGAAGCTAAGAAGGCCTACCTGCTTCTCCAAGCCTCCAATGTCATTGTAGTCCTCTGTGGGCTTCTCGTCAACCTCCATGGCCTTGACTCGGGAATCATACTCAGATGGTAAAGTGTCAAGGATCAAGTAGCTGTCTTTGTTAACTCCAACCAAGTCACCAGGCTTCAACTTGTCAGGGTCAACCAGACCAACAACAGGAAGAAATATAGTCTGCATGAACAAGTTAACCAGTTGAGGCAAAGTTCGAAACTTCAATCAAACAACCAGGTGATAAGGTAAGAGAGAGACTCCACCTGACGAGTTGAAGTCTTTAGGACCACACATTTCCCTTTTCTTTGCGAGTCGAGGTCTATGTTAGCACCATCTTCTTCAGCATCATCGTCTGGATTCATCTCCAAAATCTAACAGATACATAAAGAGACCACGTAAGAACATTATTACAGCACAACAAATAAGTGAAAGAGGGAAATTTGGATATTGCTGTGGCACGATCCACCATACCTCAACAATGTTTCCAACCAAGTAAGGAAGCTGCTTGTTGAGCTTAATCTTCTCCTGATTCTCCTTGATTTTTTCCTTGTAAGACTCCAGCTCCAGATTCGTTCTCTGTAACTCTTCCTGAAACCAACATTAAACCTAATTGAACACACGAAACCCTAAATCCCAACCAGATGGCAAGTCGACCGTAGCAATTGAAATTAACAACAGCAGGACGGAATCCAGTGCATCAGAAACAACAAGGGAAAAGAAATTCAATAGGTGGGTAAGATCGAAATACCTTCAATATCCGGATTTCATTGTCCAGAAGCCGGGAAGCTCGAAGCACATCATCAGTGGACATGGATGCGAGCTGATCATCTTCAAAGCTCGTATCTTCTACCATCGCCGTCGCCATTTGGTAAAGATAAACGGAGACCACCGGAGAGAGGAGTCCGATTGGGGGAAGAGACAATTTTGAGGTGTTTCGAGTTTCGACCGTAGTTCGTAAGGTGGGACTTCGGGAAGCGCAGTGGCTGAACAGCTTATATGCCAGGGGTGGGGATTTGTTTGCCTTTTCCCGACTTGACAAGGAAGAAATGTATATCGGCGTCCGGATCCCATCGCGGGCCGGATCTGTAGGCCCAAGTTTGTACAGGCCTCTTTTATAGAAATTAAAACTCACAATCCAAATTTAAAAAATCGGCCTATTATTAAAAATAAAAGAATTTAATAAGGATCGATCAAAGGGAGATTAATTCATTAAAAAAGGAGTTCTCTCGTCTAGCGAGAGTTGCGGAGCGGCGGAACTAGGGTTTTCCTAGGGTTTCCGAGGTGAGTTTGGTGCTTTGTGTCCTGGTTGATTCAAGTTTTCCTTTTCCGAAAAGAATCAGTGGTTCCTGGCGTGGAAATATTTATCAGCAATGGCATAGCTTACATCCTTAGAGAAGGATTTTCTGAGAGAAGCGGACAGAAAACAGAAAACATCCAAGCAGTACGCGAGGGTGATAGTTACAAAGGAAGACGTGTTGGCCAAGTCTTTTGGCTGGTGAAAGCAGCTACAGGAATCGGTATGGCGGCATCCCTGGACAGTGATGAGATACCAATAAGGAAGGAATTCACAAAGGATAACCTTAACCCAACAGGGGCAATCGAGGATCAGTTACATAATATTACGCTAGAGGAAGATGAGGAAGAACCACTTGAGGTTGAAGATGGCGATGTCGATGTGGTGAGAATGGAGGCAGTGCGATATCTAGGGCTCATCGGTCGCTGGTGTCAGATAAACAACCCAACATTAAGTCGATGAAGATAGCTCTATCCAAATCCTGGGGCTTAAAGAAAACTTACCAGATTACAGATCTACACAACAACCTATTCGCCTTTCAGTTTCTGGACTTTGATGATCGGAACAAGGTCTGCTATGGTGGACCGTGGCACTACGAAAATTGCATCATGGTGTTAAAGGCAAGCTGGATGATTCAGAAGCCTACAGTGGCTGACCTGCATGAGACAGATATTTGGACACAAATAAGAGGTTTCCCAGCGGAGTTGAGAACTCAATCAATGGCAGAAAAAATAGCAAAACGTTTTGGAGAGCTAGTCTACTTCGAGGACAATGCTGAGAAGATGTGGGAAGATTATATGCGCATTAGGGTGCACATGTCCATAAACAATCCGCTGAAGAAAAAGATCAAACTGAATATTGGAGGAAAGCTAATAGAACACCAGATTAAGTACGAGAAGCTTCCACTCTTCTGCCATTCTTGTGGAAGAATTGGCCATGTGAAGATTAAATGCCCCCGACCAACACAGTTGGCCGCTGACCCCTATGGTTTTGACCTAAGAGCAGCATCTCCAGCTCCACGCAATTGACTATCTCCAGGGCACGAAAAGCAGATGGAGAGATTTGGAGACAGATGCAGCAAAAGTTTGAGATAGAGAGTACTGGATCAAACCAGGAGATTGGAAATCATATGATGAAGAGGAGTAGTAAACATGGACGTCGAGCCAAAGACACATGCAGCGGAACAGGAAGGTACTAAGAAAAGCACAGAACAAGAAGCGACAACACATACCTTGCTCGCTACAGGCCTGGCTCCGGAAGTGACTAATCAGAGGATGGTACCCACTGAATGGGGAACTAGCAAACAGGGCCAGGGGAAAGCAGCTGAAACAAAGCAAAAAACCCAGTCAGGTCAAGCAGATCAAGGAAGGCAATTGGGAGCAGTACAAAGATTTATCATGGAAGAAAAGGTTGATCAAGATCAAAGAAAGATGAGAGGGAAAGGCTGGAGGAGACAGGAGCAAGGCAAACCACGAGAGAAAGGAGCATTACAATTAACTCCCCAGAAGCGACATGTTGAAGAAAATGGTGAAACCACAAATCTAGTGCGAGAGGAACAAATAGTGGCAAAGAGAGATCGGATGCTGGATTTTGTGGACACTGTGGAGAAAGAGAAGGTTGGACATGATAAACCAATGGTTGACGAAGTGGCGGTCCCTGCCGAGGAGCAGGGCCGCCGAGCTCAATGAGTCTTTTGAGCTACAACTGTCGGGGACTCGGGAACACCCCGGCGTTGAAAAAGTGAAGACGCTACTGCGTCAAACAAATCCCGATGTGGTTTTTCTTATGGAGACACGACAATATGAAGAGGAATGGAAAAAGAAAATCAGAGAATTTGGATATCACTCTAGACAAGGTGTGGCAGCAGCGGAGAATAGAGCAGGAGGTATTCTCTTGATGTGGAAGGAGGAAGTACAAATGGAAATAAAGAACTGCGACTTGCACTTTATTGATGCTCAGGTTAAAATGGCTAATTGCACACAGGCTTGGAGATTCACGGGCATATATGGCTGGCCACAGACTCAAAATAAGCACAAAACCAGTGAGCTAATTGAGAAACTTCATAGGCAGGTTAATATGTCGTGGTTAGTCGCAGGAGACTTTAATCTAATGATAGATTATTTGGAGAAGAATGGCAAAAATAGCCCGGATGAACGAGAGATGGATATGTTCAGAGAATGCCTAGATAGATGTAAGCTGGAGGATTGTGGCTATTATGGCCGCACCTTCACATGGGAAAACAACAAGAGTGACGAGCAATACACGGAGGAAAGGTTAGATAGAGCAGTTGGAAATGAAGCTTGGATGAATTTATACCCGAATATGCGAGTATACCACTTGGAGAGATGTGGATATGATCACATACCAATTCAAATAAAGCTTGATCTTGAAGATGAAGAGATTACCTGGGGTTGGAGTTTCAGATATGAACCCTATTGGGAGAGACATGAAGATTGTGGCAAAATAATAGAGGAAGGATGGATGGAAGCGGGAGGGGGCAATATTATGGATCGACTTCAGAGTGTAGAATCAAAGCTGAAAACTCGGACTATCCAAGCTTTTGGGTCGCTGAAGGAAAGAAGAAAGAAAGCAGAAAAGGCGATGCAGGCTTTGGAAAAGAGAAAGAGAACTAAGGCAGTTCAGCTTCAAAGAAGGATCATTGAGCAAGAGCTAAATGAGATCATCTTACAGCAAGAAATAAAATGGAAACAACGGTCTAGAGTAGACTGGCTCAAAGAGGGAGACCAAAACACGAGGTACTTTCACCGTAAAGCGTCTGAACGAAGAAGACGAAACACTATTAAAAAGTTGAAAGATGAAAGGGGCCAGGTGTTTGCAGGGCAATAGGGAGTGACTGATTGCTTGCTGGCCTTTATGAAGAGACTGTTTAAGGCGGGTGTGAGGCCAGATGGGAGTACCATTCTACCTACTGTCCAAACGAGAATAACAGAGGAAATGAACCAAGAACTTCTAAAGCCATTCACGGATGAAGAGGTTTGGGGAGCATTGAAACAGATGGGTCCAAATAAGGCTCCGGGTGCAGATGGGATGCCAGCCAAGTTCTTTCAGAAGCACTGGGGAGTGGTAGGGACAGCAGTAAAGGATGAGCTACGTGGGTACTTGGAACAGGGGGAATTCCCACAGCAACTGAACCACACCCTCATAGCCTTAATACCAAAAACCAAGAATCCTTTGACACCTATGGAATTCAGGCCGATTAGTCTATGCAAAGTATTATACAAGATTCTGTCTAAAGTCTTGGCAAATAGACTAAAAGGGATCCTGGATCAAGTCATTGGAGAGCAACAAAGTGCTTTTGTACCGGGGCGCTTCATAACAGATAATGCCATAATTGGCTTTGAGTGCTTTCATGCTATGAAACAAAAGAGAAAGGCAAAAAAGGGATTCATGACAACAAAGTTGGATATCTCAAAAGCCTACGATAGAGTAGAGTGGGACTTCCTAGAGGCAATGATGAGGAAAATGGGATTTGCAGACAGATGGGTTCAACTCATAATGCAATGCATAACCACGGTTTCCTATTCTATTTTGGTGAATGGCCACCAATATGAGGTTTTCAAACCAGAACGAGGTCTCAGACAAGGGGATCCAATCTCCCCTTACCTGTTTCTTCTTTGCGTTGAGGGCGTGTCAGCACTAACTACAAAAGCAGTGGAGGAAGGGAAGTTGCATGGGATTAAAGTCTCAACTCGAGGACCTAAGATCTCTCATTTGCTGTTTGCAGATGATAGCATCTTTTTCTTGAGGGCCACACCACAAGAATGTCATCAACTAAAAGACATCCTACGAGTTTATGAGGCTGAATCTGGACAAATGTTGAATATGCAGAAGTCCGAGCTGATTTTCAGCCCAAGTGTTGCATTGGAAAAAAGAACTGAGCTGGCTGGTATCCTAAATATGAAGCAAGTGGAGACCTATGCCAAATATCTTGGCCTGCCTACGGTGATTGGTAAGGAAAAGAGGGTTGTCTTTGAGACTTTGGTCAATAGAGTACGCAAGAAGATCAAGCATTGGAAGGGACTTACCCTCTCCATTGCTGCAAAAGAAATATTGATTAAAGAGGTGGCACAATCTCAGGTAACATACATGATGTCCATATTCCTTGTGCCAAATGGTGTGTTGACAGAAATAAGAAAAGCAATATCCTGTTTTTGGTGGGGGCAACAGAAAGAAGAACGTAGAATCCCTTGGAAAGCGTGAAAAGACGTTTGCAGGCCTAAAGAAGAGGGTGGAATGGGATTTCGGGACTTGCATGCTTTCAATATCGCGCTACTTGGGAAACAAATCTGGAATTTGCAAACCAATCCAGGATCCCTAGTGGCAAGAATTTTGAAAGCAAAGTACCACCCAAATACAGATATTCTGCAGGCAAATTTAGGGGCCAATCCGAGCTACACATGGAGAAGCATATTGGCTGCTCAGGAGCTGGTAAAAAGTGGTTTGCAGTGGAGGATAGGCAATGGCACAAATGTTAAGATTTGGGGGGGGGAATGGATCCCAGGGGCAGAGGAGAATGATTTTAAGGCTACCACCCCTGAAGATGATACTGGCGAGATTCAACAAGTGGCTAGCCTGATAGATCACGAAGAAAGAACGTGGAGGCAGAACTTATTGCAGCATTACTTCAATGTTGTAGACCGAGAGCGAATATCAGGAATCCATATACCTGTACAACTGGCGAAAGATACTCGAGTTTGG